AAAATCTTTTCAAATCGTAAATAAACCGTAATTGAAAAACAAAAAATTCAAAATAGATTTTTTAGCACCAAATAAATTTTATCTTTGAATCAAAATCATCGAGATCATCATCTGGGAATGATCAATAAGTTGTGTGGCAGCAATGTTGCAAATGTTTATTTCTTCTTCTTTTCGTGGACCGTTTTTTTTCATCTTTATTGCGTATCAAGCATCATCATTGAAAATTGTCATCATCAATAAAAAATTCAAATCAAAGATGCAACAACGGTTTCTCTCTCTCTCTCTCTCTCTCTCTCTCTCTCTCTCTCTCTCTTCGTTGATTGGAAAAAAATTTACAGCAATTAAAAAAAACACTGAGGAAAATGTGAAACAAACAGAAACACAATCTAATTTTTGATTTGAAATGATGTTATCATCATCATCATCAAATTGCCATGTGGTATCTCAATTTGATTCATTTTCTATTTGAAAAAACAAAAAACAAACAAAAAATCTTGACCACCACCACTATCATGGTCTGAAAAAAAACAAGCAAAAATTTATTGACGTCAATAAAACTATCATCAAACATGCAAATGAAAAAAACCTGATGAAAAGATGTTTAGATTAAGAAAAAATCACCGATGATGATCAAAGATGATCATCGGTGATTTTGACACTAGGAAAAAATAGCCAAAAATCCAGTCAAAAATTGTAAATATAATATGTCCATTTATTTTTAACATTGATACTTTGTATTTTCTAATGATAATAATTATCATTCATTTCATTTCATTTGGTGAAAAAAAAATTCATTACCATAATACATATTACGATTGTAATTCAAATATGTGTTCACATTGTATTAATGGTTATTCAACAACAACAACAACAACAAAAAACTGAAACATGACATTCGCTGACCATATATTTCTTTTCATTTTTTTTTAAATAAAATAAATTTTCTGGTTATTCCGTGATACATTGACTATATATTGGTGTGGATACAAATTCTCAATGGTCGTTTTTTCACCAACCAAAATAATCATATATATCATTTATACCTTGGCTATGTGGAAAACTCACCTGGAAAACAAGAAAAAATTTATGTAAAAATTCAGTCGGCAATTTACTTTATGAAAACTTGGATGATGATAATAAACATGTCATACACACACAAACCGAGAAAATATTCATTTAATGATTATTACCAACACTTGATATTAACACTTTTTTTTGGAGAAAAAAAAACTGAATAAATAAATAAGATGAACACTTTGGGGTTAAATGTCGATGATGATGTCGATGGTGATGATGGCTTAATTATTCAGCAGCAACTACAAAACACACGTTTTTAAGAATTTTCAAATATTCAAAAATGATTTTTCTCTGTTGGATAAAATCTACATAGCAGCCGACAAAAAAAAAAGATTCCAAAACAACAACCAAATTCTATGAAATGACCAACAAACTAAAACATCATTCAGACAAACCAAACAAACATTGATTATTGTCATTGGTTACCAACTTTTTTTTTTCTCTCTCTCTCTCTTCTCCACCATCAACCATTCAGCTAACCAAACAGGGTAAACATCATCTCTCTTCGAGAGAAACAAAAAAACGGGAAACAAAAAAATCCAAATGATAATGATAATCCCGCCTTCTTTTTTCATCATCATCATCAACAACGTATAAATTGTATCAAACAAACAGCGCGGGCGTTATATATATTTTATATATACACTGCATGTTTGTGCACATGTCATTTGAAAGAACAAAAACAAAACAAAACAAAAAACAGGCGTGGATACCATTTATAGCCATTATTGTCATTATTATCATTTAGAGATGTCGAAATAGACATGCGTAAAATCAAATTCTTGCAAAAACAATGGTCGCTTTATCAAGAATTTTTTTCTTGAAATGAAATGAGATTCTTGTGGACAACAACAACAACAACAACAACAACAATGGTAATGATAAATTCTTTCCAGAACGAAAAAAAAATAATACCACTACAAATATAACGGTCATTTTTTTTCTTTTCTTTTAGTTTCTGTATGGAATTTGAAAATGAAAAAACATACAATACACACACACACATAGCTCTCGAATGATGATGATTATTATTATTATTGAAGAGAGAATTTGAAAGGCAAAGAATAAAGTAGAATTTTGTAGTCGTCGTCGTTTGTGTACGTGATTTCATTCATTGACAACATTTATTTTTTCATTCAAAATGGGAGAAAAAAAGATAGATAGATAGGATAGGATATACAGAGGAATTCATTGCTTTTTTTCATTCGTTCAACAATCATCATCATCCATTGCTGAAAATGAAAATGAATGAAACGAAAACCGAAGCTAAACAAAAAATTCCAATCACGTTCCAAAAGTATTTTTTTCTTCTATGCTCTCTATTCTCACGTATTAACTTCGTTAGCGGTATTTTTTTTTCTTTCTTTTTTTTTTGCCCAACTTTATTTTCATTTCATTCTCAATTCATGTTTTTGTATGTGACTAGTGTTTTTAAACATGAAACGAAACAAGAAAAACAACCAAAAATGAAACCAGAAAACGTAATAAGCATAACAGTATACTGCTGTTATAATATTTGTATAGTACCCTCCCTTTTTATGCGCAAAATGAGCGGTATTAACGTAACGTTAGTGAAATGAATGAAGAGAGAGAGAGAGAGAGAGAGGGATAGTCAAGCACGCACGCACGCATCACACACACACATTAAACGTAAAGAGAATATTATAGGTTCATTATGGCTTATTGATAATGATGATGATCATCATCATTATGAAAGAGATGTCTTTCTGTACAACACTGGACATTATGGATCGTTTTTCGTTTTTTTTTTTGAAAATGACCAATCCAGTAAATGAATGAAAATGAAAAAAATGGCCTTTGTGCTGTTGTGTTAATGATGGAATCATTTATATGTTTAGAAAATGACTTACCCAATATTCTTTGTATAAATGGCGCCCAAATTAGATTTTTTTCCCTTTGTTATTGTCGGTTGTTGAGATGGTATTCCTTGATGAATTTGATGATGCTCGATAGTTTATAGAAAACGTTGAATGATGAAAAAAAAACAACAGCAAAAAATTCCAAAAAAAAAACATTCGTGACATTTTGGGAAAACATTTTCATCGTTGTTTTTATTTCCACATTTGACCATTCCATTACACAAACACTGCAGTGTTTGGGAGTTGTTTTCATTTGTATAATTCTGTCTATGGAATATAACAAAAACAAAAAACAAAAACAATAATAAACGTTATCATTATGTCCATTTTCATTAAAAAAAAACAACTGAAAATTCATCATTATCATCATGATAATGGTGTTATTTAATTACCTTAGCTTATTACCCAATGACAACAACAACAACAACGGAAAAACAACAATTATCTATTATGGTGGATTATCATCATCATCATTGGGCGTTATTAGGTTTATATAGTAGCGATGTGTCTTTTTTTTGGCAATTATTATCATCATTGTTTTGTTGTTTTGGCGTGTCTTTTTTCTTTTGTTGAAAATGAACGAAACGTCCATAAAAGAAGATTATTTGTTTGATAATACCTATCACAAAACAAAAACAAAAACAGTAGCAGGTAAAGTGGTGTCATCATCCGCATCATTATTGTCATACTTACTTACTTATGTTATGTAATTATACTTGAGTTTTTGAATAAGGCGAGAGAAAAATTCAACTACCAGTATTACTTACTTGCTTATTATCATCGAAAAAAAAACAATTGATGTTGATGATAAGCTTTATGTAATAATCACGTAATGTATATGTGAGTATATTGAAAAACAATGCAAAATGTGTGTTGCTTTTTCATTTTCACATTGATGATGATAAGATGGATAAGTTGAATATCTTTTTTTCATTCAGAAAAAAAAAACAACAAAAACAACGAGAAATTTCAATCGGGTGTTGTCCCATATGCGTTCAATTTGACATTTTTCAAAAATAATGAATGATAACAGCCAAGGAACTTGTCCATTTTAGCTGTTGATTTCATAATGTCCTTTTTCCCTATTTAAAGGAGAAGAAAACAAAATATTAAATTAATCAAAAGCAAACAGACAAACAAAAAAAATTACCTTAAATTCTCATTCAATCATCATTAATTTGAAACGTAACAAAAAATTAAATTATTCATTTTCATTCACTGATGATTATTGTTGTTATCCATGTTTGATGGAAATGACCATTATCATTATCAAACTGAGAAAAAAGGGCCAGGTTCGCCAAAAAATTATAGCCCAAAAAACGAGATGATAACCAGATATATTATAACTGAAAACGAGAAAAACTGAAAAATTTAGTTTGGAAATGGCCATTCTTTTTGTTTTTCGGTAAAGAATTTCCAGAATATTTTGCCCAAACAACAAAAGAATTTTCCAATTTGGAATACTAGACACGTATTAACGAAAGAAAAAAGAATCTACCTACCTAAACACATGATCAGAATTGATAATTAGTTTTTGGAATTCGATTTTGTTGGATGGATTCTATGGAACTTTGCTTTTGTTTGTTTTATTGTTTGTTTTGTTTTGTTTTTGGACAGAACATTTCCATTGATTTCTTGATCCTGGATCCAAAAAACAAAACAAAAAATCTTGATCTAAAAGAAAACATAAATTACAATAATAATAATCAGTTAAATTCATTAAAAATATAAATAAAAATTGGTTAAAAAACAAATATTACAACTAAATAGCAAACATGTTTTTACATAAATATTATCATTTCTGGGTAACATTCGCTTCATTTCGCGTTTTTCTAATGATAATGATAATGAGAAATAAATTATTATTATTTGGACAAAATATGGAAAAATATTCAAATGATACAAACCACGATATGGATATAATCATCAACATAATGATTATAATGGTAACAAAACAAAGAAGAAGAAAAAATTAACAAATAGTAATTAATTATGGCCATTCATTATTATCAGAAAATCGTTCATTATTAGCAGAAGAAAAAAAAACATTGATTGTAACAAATTGTAATTTAGGAAATCATTATTATCATTTTTGGGTATCATTACAAGAATGATAATAATGATTTATTAAATGAACATTTAGTTTTTTTATTGAAACAAAACTTGAAATTCCTTTGGTAACTCAAAATCGAACGATTTTTGTTTTGGTTTTTTGTTCGAATCACGGATATGATGATGATGATGATGATGGATATCATCATATAATTCCACATTGCGATTGTGTCGCCATCTTTTAGTTAAAATTTTAATCAAAAAAATGCTTGTTTTTGTAAAATTTTGTAAAAAATTTTTATTAAATCTTTTTTTTTTAATTTTTAAAATGTTTATAAATTGATTTGTTATTAGTTTTTACCCGCACACAAAAATTATCAATTATCAAATAATTTTTTCAATTCAACCAAAAGATTCGAACGTTCGATTTCTATTTCTTTACGTGTTTGAATATTACGAATTTTCACCATACCACGTTTCAATTCATCTTCAGCCAATATAACTGCATATGGTATTCGATTTGTTTCACAATATTGATAATTATTTAAAATTTTTATAGATTTTTTATAAATATGTTCAGCATTTATATTTGCTTGCCATAATTCTAATAATATTTTCATTCGTTCTTCGAGTAATTCATTACCAATTGATGCAACTAGAACTTGTGTTGGTGATCCAACACCAATTTGATTATCATTGAACATTCGTTCTTCAATTATAGTCAATATACGTTCGATACCAATACTCAAACCGACACAAGGTACTTCCCAATTATTAGTTTCAGCCAACATTCCGACAAGATTATCATAACGACCACCAGCAGCAATACTACCACATTCAATATTTTTATCCGTTATAATTACTTCATAAATTAAACCAGTATAATAATCTAAACCACGTGCTAAACTCAGATCAAATGAAATTGATGATTCAATTTCAAATATTCTACAATAATTAAATAATGTTTGAATTTCCATTAATCCTTTTGTAGCACGTTTATTTCGGGCAAATTCTTCATTCGTTAACAATTGTTCGACTAGTTCAATTGATCCATTCATTTTAACAAATTCTCCAATACGATCGGCAACCATTTCGGACAAACCTTTTTCTTTAATCATTTCTTCTTTAACTTCTTCCCAGGTATTTTTATCCAATTTATCAACGGATGAACAAATCGTACGGAATTTATCTTCAGGTACACCACATATTTCAAATAAACCATCCAAAATACAACGATGATTTATCTATCGGGGAAAAAATTGATTTAAAATCAACAAAAAGAATAACCCAGATAAACACTTACTTTTATCAAAAATGACTTTAAATTTAATTCATTTAGAATTTCATAAATAATACGTAAACATTCAACATCCGGAATCATTGGATCATATTTACCGGCAATATCAAAATCACATTGATAAAATTCACGAAATCTACCTTTAGTTACTGATGGATTATCACGACGATAAACTTTTGCAATATGATAACGTTTCATTTGATTTATTTTATTTTGTGCTAAAAATCTTGCAAATGGTACTGTTAGATCATATCTTAGTGAAAGTAATTCACCACCTTGATCTTCAAGATCATAAATTAATTTTGAATCTTCACCATATTTTCCTGTTAGAACATCTTTTCTTTCACAAACAGGTGTATCAATTGCTAAACCACCATGCCGTTTAAAAATATCCGTAATAATTTTAAAAACTTTTTCTCTAACCAACATTTGTTTTGATTCAAAATCACGCATTCCTTTCGGTGTTTTCAAAGTAAATTTTTTACTATCTTTTTTATCATCCTTTTTCGTTGGACTGCTACGATGTTTATCCGATGGTGGTGATGCGGGACTTAATCGTGCTTTCAATGACAAAAGTTTCGAAACTTCCAAATCAATCTGAAATGATATGATAAAACAATCAATCAATGAAAAATGTATTAAATTTCGCAAAAACGAAAAAAGAAAGATTACCTTTTCTTTATCAGCTTTTTGACTTTTTAGTGAACGAACTAGATCGCCTTGTTGTTTAATTTGTTCTTCAATTGCTGTTTTATTATCGGCCATTCTGATGAATGAATTTAATAATAATGATCGTTGTTGGTGTTGAAAAATTGTTCGTTCAGAATAAACTAGTGGATGATGATTAACTAACGATGATAAACGATGATGATAATTACGGAATAAACGAAGAAACATTTGACCAAACAAACAGACAAAACACGTTGGCATTTATTTCATTGGAAAATTTTCTTCCATTGCGAAAATCATGCTCAAAAACAGAAAACGGCATGATTCAACTATTTTAACCTTGATCAAACTACCCAAACAGGTTTCGCAATTCGAAAAAAAAACTCAAAATTTTTCAATTTTTTTTTCTTGAAAACTTTTTAATTTTATTTTGAACAAAAAAAAAATCAATTTTAAAATTGGAAAAAAAACATTGAATCAATCAATGTATCAAATACAGGAATTCAATCAAATAATTTTGGATGATTGACCGGATCCAAAAAAAAGTGTCCAAATCAAAAATCAATGTTTTTTTTCATTTCTTCTTTCGTACATTCGTTTGTTTCATTGACGATTTATTTTCAATCAAATTGTTTGATTGATAAGTTTTCGAACTGATAATGTTGAGGAAATATAATGACGCAAGCGAGAATAACAAACTGACCATGGGATAGAAAATATGAAAATTTTAATGAAAATAATATTTACAAGAAAATCACGAGTGAAAAACTAACTTACCAACTAGTGACAGCTACTTGATGAACAAGACCGGATGTAAACATGGCCACAATTAAACTAAATATAACTGATTGATGAAAATTTTTATATTTTTATAAAAAAATTACAGGTTACAAACAAATAAAAATACCTTCGGTATATTTAGATTGATAATGTTTACCAAACAATGACATTTGTACATTATTAACAGCCGTTAATATAAATATAAAGATTAATGAACCAAGATAACCGGCAAATAATGTTAGTAATTTAGTTTCGATTAATTGTGAACGAAATATTTGCATTGCAGCCATTATAACCAATGATAATGATGATGATATTATACATGATAATCCTAATGATACAGCTTTATAAAAAAATCAAAATATAGAATTAAAAGAAGTCTTTTCAAATGAAAAATTCATCTATTTTACCCATTTTTTTAGAAAATGATTATCAATATTATTGTTGTCAATGAGGTTAACAAAAATCTTGGAATTGTCATCAAAAAAAAAAAAGAAAAGAAAAAAACACTCGCTTGTTATTTAATAAAAGCGCATGACCGATGATGAATTGATTTTCAGAAACTTTTTTTTTTATTTTAAACATTTAATGTTTACAAGAAAATTTCCACATTCATCATAATCATTAACCTAACCTAACTCAACTATGAATCACAGTCATATAGTCATATAGTCATTAACCTAACCTAACCTAACTGAACTATTGGTCATATAGTCATCAACCTAACCTAACTCAACTATAAATTCTGACTTTTTTTTTAAAATTTTTCAATCTGATAATGTTATTATTTATCAATCAATTTTTTTCTCCTAAATTTTATTTAATTAACAATTTTTTTTCATATTCAAATCAACCACACACACACACACACATATGTTTCTCAACAAAATTTATATATATTGACACAGGTGACAATCATCCTAAATCATTAAATCAAGTCTAGACCATTTAACATTGATCATATATTGTCGCCGTCAGTTTAAATTGACCCGTCGTCGTCTGTTAACTTAACTGAACAAAACGAAAGAGTTATTGATTATGATGATAACCCCCTCAAAAAAAAGGGTAAACCAAAAGCGGCAAACATCAAATAAACAAAGAAAAAAAACCTGGTCACTTAATCAATTATCAATCAATCAATCAATCAATAGAATTGATAATTGTTTAATAACCGTATGCATGCATATCAAAGGTGATAAATAAAAGATTAACCCCAACCAAAATAAACAAAATAAACAAATTGTAGTCGAAAATATGAAAATCATGTCGAAATTATATTCCCATAGCCATCGATAATATAACTGTACATTTTTTCTCACGAAATTTCGAATTATTTTCTTCGAAATTTTTTTTTTGCATTTCGTCCGTAACAATGTCATACAGACAGACACTACCTCGCCAGCCATCATGTCTCGTCGATGATCATCTTCGATGTTGATGATGATCATTTTTTTTCTCGTTTACTTTGGCAACAAAGAATGGGCGGTTTTTTCGTTCTTCTTCAACTTCTTCATCAATGGGCGGTACTTTCATATTGTTCGAAGATTCGAATGTTTTTTTCGTATTTAAGATTCTGCAAAATTCAGGCTATTTTTACTCCATCATCATCCAGGACGATCACATTTGGATTCGAATCTTTTTCAATGAATAGTAATTTTATCGAAATGGACAACGAAAATATCAATGTCAATGGTGAAATAAAAACTGAATTTATTGATTTGGATGCAACCGCAACGATGAAGATGACGAAACCAACAACAAAATCAAAACGAAAATCCGCAAACGATGATCTGGTGGTGGCCGAAAATGGTAAAAAATTGAAAAAATTGAAACGAAAAAATTCAAAAGAAGATGATAATGGTGATGGTGGTGGTGGTAAACAACGAAAATCGAATAAAAAAATAAAATCCGAAAATGATGAGGTTTATGAAAACCCCCATCAAAATCATTATCAACAACAACAACAATCGATAAAATCTGAAATAATCAATTCGAATGAAAAAATACGGATGGATGAAGAATTTGATTATTATCGATCAATGATGATGATCGGTAATAATGGTGATGAGCAACGATTTTTGGATGGCAATGTTGATGGCAACTATGATGATGATGATGATGTGGATCAACAAAATTCAGAATCATCATCATCATCATCATCATTATCAACAAAAAGTTCATTAAAAGAACAACGTGTTAATGCAAATGTACGTGAACGTTTACGAACAAAATCATTGAATGAAGCATTCGGTCTATTAAGACAATTAATACCAACATTACCATCAGATAAATTAAGTAAATTTCAAACATTAAAATTGGCATCACGTTATATACAATTTTTAGATTGGGTAAGTTTTTTTTTCATTTTCTTTTTCTTCAAAAAAACCAAAACAAAGAAAATTTCAATTTTAAAAATTTCCAATCCAAATCGAATAGATGTTATCATCGGAAAATTGTCATGACCAACAACCACCATCAATGATCAACGATCAACCACCAAAACAACCATTAAAACAACAAGAACCATCAATTTGTTTTGATAATAATGATCGTTTACCAAGTTTTTATGAATTAAATTCATTATCATCATCATCATCGAAAAAATTCAACAATCATCATCATCAATCAATGATAACCGTACCATCACAGCAACCGCAACCGCAACAACAATTTAATCTACCAAATGATGATCATTATGTTGATCATTATCCAATGCCAATGATAATGCCACAACATCATTCACCAACGTCATTATCATCATCATCATTATCGTCATCATCGTCATTATCACCAAATTCACAATCATTATCATATTTAAATCGATTACCTAATAATAATAATAATAATAATCAATCATTGATCGATACATCAAAAACGATTGATACATTTATATCATATGCATTTTCAATGTGGCGTATGCAAGCTGATACAACAACAACAACAACAACAATGATACCAACATCGGCTGCAACAACAACAACAGTGGCCGTGACAATGGATGATCCAATGTTAATCAATTATCATCATCATATGAATCATATGAATCATAATGGTCATCAATCAATCGATCATCAATTGATTGGAATGTAATTTAATTATTAATGAATTTGTAAATTTTTTTTTTCTTTTAAAATAAAAAAAAATGGATTTTTTTCTTTAAAAAAAACTTATAAAAATCTATTTATAAAGATTTTGAAAACATCATTTGAAAATGACCATTTTTTTCCTTCCTCACTTTTTTTTTACTTTGTCCATGTTGAAAATGTTGAAAACTTTTCGAAATGTTTATCCGTTTTTTTTGGTGCTATAAAATTTTTTTTTTTACAGAAAAAAAAAGATTTCATAAAACTGAATGATCATTAGTGACGATGGCTAAAATGAAATGAATGACCAGAACCATCAACTATCATCCACCCACACACACACAGCTGCAGAAATAGTTTTTAAATCTTCATCTTCATCATTTTGTTTCTTGCAAGTTTATTTTAAAAATAAAATGTTTAAAATAAAATTAAACAAAATGAATGAATGAAGATTTCTCCCGTTTTTCATAATATCTTTAAATCTTTCTTCATCCAACTATGAACTGTTATGGGTTTTGGTCGTCGTCATAGACTTCAAGGTCGAATTATTAGCAGAGCAAAAACTGTTGTTGCTGAAGATGATGATGATGATGAAGAAAACCATACGAACCGAAACAGAATCTAAACTTTCAACAAACAAAAAAAAACATTTAGGCTACCAGTGTTCATCAGTTGGGTCGAATCGTAGGTCACACTTAATATCTTGTCTTGTCTTGTAAATGTGTGATGTTGATTAAAATCAAAAGTCAAAGAGCAGCAAGCAACAACAATGACAGTCTATAGTAGTTCCGGTAAAAAAATCTTCATGTTAATCATCTTTGTTGAAGTTTATTAAAGATCAGTTCTTTTTTTTTGGATGTAGAAACCATTAGGTGATTAGGGTGATCTTTCTTTGAAATAATCTTATTCTTTTATCATTTTTTGGGTTTGATCGCTAAATTGATGATTGAATTTCAAAGTTTTTCTTTTCTTTTTGTTCTTTTTTTTCGAAAAATTTTCCTTTCAAAAATTGTCCATTTTTCTTCCTTCCTTTCAGAAGAAAAACTTCTCATTAGTTTTTTCTTGCGTATTTTTTTTATGTTTGAAACTTACTTTTAATTATTTTCTTTTTCGAAAATAAATGTCAAGACCTTGGATCTTCTTTTTGTTCTATTTAGACGATATATAACGTGTAATTTGATATCCATATGGTTTGGTTTTTCGTTTTGGGGCTCATCTGCTCACAATAATAATAATTCTTCTTCGTTTTTTTTGAATCGTCGATGAATAAGTTAAAAAAATGAATGTTTTCGGTCAAATTGTCATTCGGTTGGTCGAGATTTTCATTCTAAACTTGCAATGCATGTGTTTAATTAGACAACAAAAAAAAACTAAAGACAAAGATTCGTCAGGCTTTTTTCTTCTTCTTGATAATGATGATGAAAACAAAAAAACAAAAAAGTTCAAAAAGTCACAAAAAAATGTCGTCAAGGTTCCATGAAAATTACCCTACTTTTTTTCTGGTTCGAATCGAATCCGAAAAAAAGACCGCGCGCGTTCGATCAAACATTTCCAGGGAACATTTTCATTCGAAAAAAATAGCGGCAACTTTTTTTTTGTTGTTGTCGTTCGATTTGGTTCAATGAAAAATATTTTATTTCAATTTGAAAAACTTTTTTTTTTTAATTTCATTTTAAAATAGTCATTTTTTCAGCAAAAAAAAACATCAAGAGTATATCTTATTTCATTTCACGGTGATGATGAAAGCAAAATTTTTTTTTTCAAAAAATCATTTTCGAAAGAAAAATGGTATACCACCAAAAAATGGCCCAAAACCACCACCGGTTATTTTACCACCCGGTCCTAATGCAATTGAACGTCCAACAGCAAAACCGCTGGTAAAACCACCACCATGTGGACCGACTTTACCACCAGCAACAACTGGATTAGCATCCGATAATCCGATTGTCATCATTAATCCAGCCATCAAAATACTTATAATCTATAAATCGACGGAAAACAAGAAAAAAGTAGGATTTTTCATCGTTAAAAGTAAGTTGAAGAAAACATACCCGAATAAAATTCATGTTTTTTTTTCGTTCGTTCGTTTTAGATCGTGTCGTTTCGATTTGATGAAAAAATTGAAAATGAAAACTGAATTTAAATGGCCGCAACAAATGAAATGAATTTTGTCTAGTTTCTCACCAGAAAGACAAAACTAAATGGATGAATGAATTTTTCCAACCTGCGAAACCTTGAATTTCCAATCCCACTATGTTTGCATAATCAAAAAACAAAAAAGTTTTCTGAAACAAACTAACGGAAAAAGGAAATTGCAATCAAAATTTTCTTCAGAAAATGTGACATGTCATGTTTTGTTTCAGAAAAAAGCAGAAAACATCCTTGACTTTTAGTCATCATCATCCTTTACATTAAATTTGGTTAATTAAGAAACTTTTTTTGCTTGCAACATCCATCAGCCATTAGCCACCCTAAGAAAAACAAAAATCTTTAAAAATATTCAAATAAGAATTTCGTAAGTCAAAAATCCGTTCAAATGAAATAAACAACAACAACAACATCTGCCTGTCGGATCATCATCATAATCAATGAATATTGGTAATATTGTTATCATTGTCAAAACAAATCAATAAATATTTTCTTCGTTTTTTTTCTCTCTTTTCAGATGATGATTTAGGTTTGATTTGAACTGAAAAAAATCGATCGTTTAATGTTATGATTATATGTTTTTAATCGTATTTAACACAACGAAACAAAAATGTTTAGAATTTCGACTTTTTTTTTGCAAAATCTCAACCAACGAAGAAAAGAAAAAAACAAGTGTTTTCTATCATCTAACTTTTTTTTTGGTTAGTTAGCTAATTGGTGGCAGTGTAACTTGGCAGTCAAAGAAACGAAAACTTCCAAATGTCATTGATTATTATTACCATATGTTTGTTGTTGTTGTTGTTGTTTTATAATCCATTGTGTTTTTTTCGGTTGTTGTTGTTGGATGTAGATCTTTTTTTTTCTCGAAAAAATTTATTTATTTAGTTTGTTAGTCAAGTCAAGTAAAGTCAAGTTAGTCAATGGAAAATCCAATCAATCAATCAATTTATATTATAAACTTTTTTTTTGTAAATTTAAAATCTTTTTTGCTTCTTGATAATACAAACATAACACACAAGTTTAGTTAAGTTTAGTTTAGTTTAGTTTAGTTTCTCTCCACTGATTTGTTTATTCATCATTTTAAACAATTTTCTTCGGGGTCCGTGAATGTCATGTATAGACATGTAAACATATTTCGTCCATCCATGCATTCCAACGAGAGAAAAAAACTAAGGAATTTTCTTTTCCCTGTTATTGATTTGATTTGATTTCAATTGAATTTATAATCAAATTTTATATTTAAAAAAAAATAACTACATCTGGACATTATTGTTATTATCATCCTTCCTTATTAATTAATTGATGACGATGATGATAAAAGACGGTCACACAAAACAATTAAGATAACAAAAAGTTTTTGATTATCATCAATAAACTATATATATATTTTTAATGACAATTTCATTTGTAATCAAAATTTAAAAATGGAAAGGCTATAAGCATAAAGGCAACATTTTTGCCAAAACATCTAAATAACCTCGATAATTGTTTGGAAGGTAAAAAAGAAGAAGAAGATAATCTGGCCTTTTCAAAAAAATCTAATCTAAACTGTTTAACTATCTTCTTTATTTTTTTTAATGAGAGAGATAATCATATCGGTAATGGCTATTTTTGTTGTTAAGTACTAGTGATTTAATCACTTTTTAGGCACATCTTTACAATAACAACAATAACCAGAAAATAAAAAATACATTACTAATTAGATAGATTTGCGTCATCATTTATCATCATCATCAAAAATTAATTAATTAAAAAAAAATTATCTTGATTTTTTTTGGCAACGAAAAAAAAGGATAAAAATGTTTCTTAAAGGGAAACAACAACAAAATACTTGAAATTTGTTTTCATTTACCACAAAAAAAAAACACACACACACATTTTTCAATTTTTTTTGTTTACGATTTTTTTAAATTGTTGATTTTGGAACAAGAAAAAACAAAATGTCGAACATTACATCAGATTTTGATATTGAAAATTTATTTTCATCAATTTGTAAAACAAAATTTTGGGTAAATATTTTTGAAAATTCCTTTTTTTTTCTTTTTTTTTTTGGTTCTCGTTCGGAAAGTTCTTATCATTCAATTCACTATTTTAGGATTATAATGAATGTTGGAATACTGATCGACCCCGATTAACACCTTGTTTTCTAAACACAGCATTAATATATCCACCGATAATATTTTTAATAATAAATTTACCATATACAATATATGATTATCGTCAATCAGATCGACCAACAATCCCTTGGAATCGTTATAATGTAATGCGAATGTTAATAGCCATTTTAATGGCTATAATTCAATTTATACATGCTATTCATTTGATTATCTATCGATTTATGGATCAAACAAATGTAAATAATAATTATGTTAGTACGGCACATATTTTGGCATTATGGTTAACATTTTTTGGTTATCTTTTACTAATAATTTATCTTCATTTACAACGAAAATATGGTTTTGTTAATGGTGGTGTTGTTTGGTTTTATTTACTTTTAACCACTTTATTTAATATTTTAACAATACCATTTGCATTAGAATATCGTCCATTAGAACATTGGATTTATTTACCTGTAAAGCTAACAACACAGATAATGTTATTCATTTTTTGTTCATTTGGTGATCGTAATCCATTGGAAGTTGAAATGGAATCATCATCAACAACAATGAAAATAAAACATTGTCCACGTGATTCATCATCAATACCATCAAGATTAGTGTTTTGGTGGTTTAATTCATTAGTAACATTAGGTTGGCGTCGTTCATTACAACGTAATGATTTATGGTTATCACGTAAACATGATTCATGTTCATATTTAATGAATTTATTCTTTAAATATACATCCATTCAATCGACGACAACAACAAAATCCAATCCACAACAGCAAATCGTTCATAGCAACGGTGATCAAGATGATGATGATAATCAAGATCAAGATGATGAACAAATAAAACATCGACCATTAAATTGTAATCTTTGGACAATTTTAATGAAAATGTATTGGAAATATCTACTATTTCCGGCAGCGGGACGTTTAATTACCGACCTTTTACAATTAGCAAATCCAATTATTCTGAAATTATTAATTGAATATACAACAAGTAATGATACAAGATTATGGCATGGTATACTTTATTCATTTGGTTTTTTCCTTATAAATATGATACAAAGTTGGTCAGCATTATATCAATTTCATCGATTTTCAATTCTTTCATTAAGAATTCGTTCAACATTGATTGGTGCCATCTATCGTAAATCATTAGTATTGGCAACTGATTCCAGAAAAGATTATAATACCGGTGATATTGTTAATCTGATGGCTATTGATTCACAAAGATTTATTGATTTAGTTCGATATGCAAATTATATTTGGACATCACCAATAATGATAACAATTGGTTTTTATTTATTATATGAAGAAATGGGTTGGTCAGCATCAGGTGGATTTTTATTAATGTTTTTATTAATACCATTTCAAGGTTATATAACACGTAAAATTAAATCAATACAAGTCAAACAAATGGCTGAAAAAGATCATCGATTACAAGCAATCAATGAATTATTGAATGGTATTAAAGTATTAAAACTTTATGCATGGGAACAAGCATTTATACAGAATATTATTCGTATTCGTTCAATTGAATTGAAACGTATTCGTATGGCCGGTTTATTAACAACAATATTTGTTATTGTTGCTATTACATCACCATTTTTAATTACATTTTTGGTATTTGCTGTTTATACTAAATTAACCGGTATGATTTTAACATCGAAAAAAGCATTCGTTACGATTGCATTATTCAATTTATTAAGAGTTCCATTATCAGCATTACCTAATGTTATGACATCATTGATTCTTGTAAGTTTTTTTTGTGTTAAAATAATTTGTATGGAAATTCTTTTAACCATTCTTTTTCTCTCAAAATAATCCAAGACAATTGTATCGATGAAAAGAATTAATCGTTTTTTGAATGCACCTGAACTAGAAGATTATGTTCGACGACGACCAATGAAAACGGATGCTATACGTTTAACAAATGCATCATTTTCATGGGAACAACAGCAACAGATTCCTACATTAGTAAATATTAATGTACGAATACCAAAAGGAAAATTATGGGCAATTGTTGGACAAGTTGGTTCGGGAAAAAGTTCATTTTTGAATGCAATACTTGGTGAAATGCATAAACAAAATGGTACGGTTATCATCGGTAAAGATTTACGTATTGCATATATTTCACAACAAGCATGGATACAAAATCTTACCGTTAGAGATAATATACTGTTTGGTAAAGAATTTGATCAGGAACGATATGATCGTTGTATAAATGCTTGTGCATTGAAAACTGATTTAGAAATGTTAGATCAAGGTGATCAAACTGAAATCGGTGAAAAAGGTATTAATTTATCGGGTGGTCAAAAACAACGTATCAGTATTGCACGTGCATGTTATTCAGATGCTGATATCTATCTGTTTGACGATCCACTTTCAGCAGGTAAATTTTTGATTTTTTTTCTCCTTAATCGATTAATTCATTCAATCCATTTATTCATAGTTGATAGTCATGTTGGAAAACATATTTTTGAATCAGTAATCAGTTCAAATCAAGGAATATTACGTGAAAAAACAAGAATATTAGTTACAAATGCATTATATGTTTTACCATTAGTTGATGAAGTAATTCTTCTGAAAAATGGTAATATTATTGCTGTGGGAAGTTGTCAAAAATTATTTAAAGAAAATGAAACATTTAAAGAATTAATGGAAAATTATCATCCAAATCATGATCAACATCAAAATATTCCAAATGGAAATTCAATTAATCGACAACATTCAAAAATTTCGGATCATATTGAACATCACCACCACCATCATCATCATCATCATCAACGACCAAGATTTCATCGTCAAATGACATCAGATTCACTATTATCCGACACAGCATCATTATCATCAATAAGTACACTTGAATCATTGGAAGAAGAACAGGAAAAAATTCCTATAGGAAAATTAATCGAATCCGAATCAATTGAAACCGGTTTGATTAGTTGGTCGGTTTATAAGAAATTTTTTCATTCAATAACAATCAAATGGATCATATTGATTATAACGGGTTATTCATTATTCATTATATCGAATAGTGGTGCAAATTTTTGGCTATCATTTTGGACTGATTATATTGATCATCATCAACATGATCGTGGTTATGAATTATGGATATTTCTTGGTATTGGTATTTTGCAATTATTATTTATTGCAATTGGTTGGTCATCAATTGTAATGGGTTGTTTACATTCATCACGTATTCTACATCAACGTTTATTATCTGCAATTGTACATGCACCAATGTATTTTTTCGATACAACACCATTAGGTAGAATTATTAATCGTTTTAGTCGTGATATGGATCTTTTAGATAATAATATGTCACTTTATATTAGGTTAGTTTTCTAATCAATATGATTTTTGATTGATTTGATTTTTTTTCTATAAAAAAATTCTTAATCCATTTTCATAGAATATACCTGTTTCATACGATGAATGTTTTGGCAACATTATTCATCATTACATTTCAAACACCAATATTTCTTGTATTTGTAATACCATTCATAGTTGTATATGCATTGATACAACGTTTTTATATTTGTACTAGTCGTCAATTGAAACGTATTGAATCCGTATCACGTTCACCAATATTTACACATTTTTCCGAAACATTAATGGGTGTATCAACAATCAAAGCATTCAATGCTGATGAACGTTTTATCGCTGAATCGAATGAACGTGTTGATCAAAATTTTCAATGTTTTTACCCTTGTCAAGTTGCTGATTGTTGGTTATTAATTCGTTTAGAATTTCTTGCAAATTTATTAATATTTTCGGCTGCATTCATTGCAACAATGATGAAATTAATCAATACTGATGGTAATGGTTTGAGTGGCAGTCAAATTGGTCTTTCATTATCATATGCATTGAATATAACAATGTCATTGAATCAAGTAGTACGTTCATCAGCTGAATTTGAAAACAATGTTGTTTCTGTTGAACGTATTGATGAATATATCAATGTTCAACCAGAAGCTGATTGGTATACGGATGAGGATAAATGTTTACAGGAAAATTGGCCATCAAATGGTTCGATTCATATGGATGATTATGCAACACGTTATCGTCCTGGTTTAGATCTTGTCCTCAAAGGTATTGATCTTAATATTAAACCTGGGGAAAAAATCGGTATTGTTGGCCGTACCGGTGCTGGTAAATCATCATTAACATTAGGTTTGTTTCGTTTGATTGAAGCAGCACAAGGCAGAATTATAATCGATAATATCGATATAGCGAAACTTGGATTACATGTAAGTCATCACATATTACTCAATGTTAAAATCAAAATTTATCCAAAAATTTTCTTCTCTTTAGAAATTACGTTCAAGACTTACCATCATACCACAAGATCCTGTACTATTTATGGGTACAATACGTTTCAATTTGGATCCATTCGAACAATATAGTGATGAACAATTATGGAAATGTCTGGAATTATCACATTTAAAATCATTTGTTTCAACATTAGATTTAGGTCTTGATCATTATGTTAATGAAGGTGGTGATAATTTTTCTGTTGGCCAACGGCAATTATTTTGTTTAACACGTGCATTGTTGAGACGTACCAATGTTTTGATATTGGATGAAGCAACAGCAGCAGTGGATTTTGAAACTGATTCTTTGATACAAACAACAATACGAAAAGAATTTTCCCATTGTACAATATTAACAATTGCACATCGTTTACATACAATTATGGATTCAAATCGTGTACTAGTATTGGATGCTGGTAATGTTGCTGAATTTGATCAACCAAAAACTTTGCTATCAAATCGTTCATCAATATTTTCATCATTAGCTAAAGATGCTGGTATTACACATTATTCATTTGATCAAAATATGATTACTTCAATAATCAAAAAACAAAAATAATTTTTTCACTTTATTCTTTTGATTTCATAATCCTTTGTTTTTTCTATATTTTTATTGTTTCGCTGTTTTTTTTGTTATCAATATTTAATAATAACGACGAGAAAGTTTACCGGAAATATTAAATCATTGAATATTTGTCATTTGATTTCTGGAATTTGATATATCATTTGTCAATCAAATCCTTGAGTGTTTTTTTTTCATTTCTTTCAGCCGCAAATCTTTTTTTAACCAGTTTCATCACAAGGACTTTTTTTTGTTGTTTGAATAACAACCAAAAAAAAAGACAATTGGAAAATTGATCTGATTAATAATTATTTGATCAATCAATCAATCGATCGATCGATCTATTGATACATTACACACATATCGATTGACATTGATTGATTGATTGATGATGAACGTGTACGAAAATCGATATTTTTTGTTTGTCTGATGACATTCAAAATCTTTTTTCGACAAAGCAAAGCAAAAAAAAAATTTCCATTCAACAAACACATGAAAAACAGCATATTTCGATCACACGCACCAAAGTCAATGATCCAAGAAAATGATGATGATGATGATCGCGAATCAGGTGTGTTTTTTTCCAGATATTTTTCCGATTTTTATCGGACATTTCCTGGTGTGTGTTTGTTTTTCGGGTAAATTTTTTTTTTCAATCAAATCAAACAATATTGACCGTAAAATAGAAAACAATCATGTCATCCATATCTAGTCCACCACTATAGTTGTTGTCCAAATGATGATCTATATTTTGAAATGAAATAAATTCAGAACAAAAAACACTGTAAATGTCAAACAAATAATGTCATAAAATTGATGATATTATGATCTGAAGCAGGTAAACTAGCAAAATTGTAACAATATTTTTTTTTTGACATATATTTGGCATCTCTATTTAAAAGTTTGGCTGTTTTTTACACCTGTATAATATTTTTGGTTTGTTTTTTGTTATCGGAAAATTTTTTTTCAACTTAAAAACTTTCTTTTCCAATTTTCACTTGTCACTCTTTTTTTTCAAAATCTACAAATATTGGTCTCTTTCAATCGCTCACTTGTTTTGTCTTTTTTTTTTGGAAAAAAATCTTTTCAAAAAAACGTTTCTATGAATAGGATTTGGAAGAAAAAAAAAGTTTTGAGAAGAGAAAAATTACTTCTGCACTTTTTTCTTTGTTGGCTCTGCTGTTTGATTCGATTCAATCGATAGATCGATTGATCATTTTCATTCGATCGATTATCATCCATTGATGATGATTAACGTTTTTTTTTGTAAGAAAAAAATCACTGCCCGTAAACAAGAAAAAAGTGATAATCCTTTCTGTCCGTTTGTGTGTGTGTGTTCAATTTGAAATCCAAAACATCCAAAAATCCATCCAGCAATCATGAATAATCATCAAATAATGAATTTTCATTCAAAGAAATTTATCAATTTCTTTTGGAATTGTTCTTGAAAAAAAACTTTACATTTTATTTTTCGTTTGTTTCAACAGTGTGTTTCGTTTTAAAAGGTGTGATATCATCATCATCATCAACAACAACATCTAGTCGATGGAAAAAGTTTTTTTTTCCCAAAATCGCTTTGGAAATAAAGGTAGAAAAAATTTTCACTTTTCCAATCAATTGCCCTATCGATGAATTTTGATTTGCTAATTTCTTTTTGAAATCTTTGTTGGATTTCGAAAGTCAATAAGAAACTTTTCAAAAAGAAACAGGAATTTATTCACGAAAAAAAAATGAAAAATTTATTCACGAAAAAAAAATGATGTTGAGGGTGGATTAATCATGATAATGATGATGATTAACATTTTTTTTTCAGACGAAACGTAAATCGCATAAAACTTTCATTTTTTCTCAAAAAGAGTTATAATGATAAATGGTAAAAATAACAGTGAAAAGAAAGGGTTTTCATGGCAAAAATCATTATCATTTTCTTTATTTATTTATTTTGATTGATTTTTTCAAATCAAAAATTTTTTAATCAAATTACAATAGAAAACCATTAACATCTGATGAATCTAACAGTTTGACAGTTTTTTTTTCTTTCAATTTCTTTAAAACGAATAATGATAATTAAGCAAAAGAAAGCAAAAAGCGAAAAAAAAAACATTTGAAGAGAAAACGGAAAATATAAATAAATGTTTTTGGTTTTTCCAACAAGCACATTCCAACAACACTGACATTGACACTGTATTTAATATACACGTTATTTAATGAGAAAAAGTAAGTAAATACATTTACAATCTACCATGACCTTCAAAAAATGGATTTTATTGATTTGATTTGATTGATTGATTTGAAACTTTTTTTTGAAAATCCCGCCAAAAAAAATAATTTGAATTTTTTTTCTCTCTCTTTTTTTTACTGTGGAAAAACGAAAATAACCATGTTACTTAGCGGATTTGGCTTGATGTTCTTTTTTTGCTTTTGATTTTGTTCAATTAATGACATAATGACATTTTCAATGCCAAGTATATATTATTGATGATGATGATCTTAATCGTATTCAATCAATCAATCAATCAAAAAACATGATGAAATCATGTTTTGTCATTTTTTGATCAAATGATAAACACGATTGATGATATGACTTGATGAAAAAGTGATATTTCAATCAATCAAAATGACCATCAACAAAATATCATCAAGGAGATGACATAATGATTCAATTTTTAAAGGTTTTTTCAACAACAACAAAAAAAAACGAAAAGTTTTAAATTTTTTTTCAAAGAAAGTTTTCCAGTGAAAAATGAATGAATGAATGATAATGACCTAAAAATAACCGTAAACGAAAAAAGATTTTACATTGTGATCTATCTTTGGTCTACTACTAAAATATAGACGATATTTGTTTCAGTTTGTTGTTCAGCAGAGAAGAAAAGAAAAAAAAATCCATTTAAAGATGATGATGATGATCATCATTATTTTCGAGGTCAACACAATATCAATCGACGACGACAACATTGATTTTCTTTTTTTGTTTCGTTATTTATTTGACAACAAATGATGATAAACACGAAAGAAACGAAAATCCTAACCTGTTGTTCGTTTTAGCTCTTCAAATTCAACACAACAGATTCTCAAATCGTTGAACGAAGCAAAAACAAAAAATTATGATAATGATTTTTCAAATGGCTGATTGCAATCATTTAAATCAGAGAAAAAATCGAAAAGAGAAGAGAAGAGATGGATAAGATTTTTTTAAAGCTGGAATTCCCGTTTGTACTTTTTTTTACGATTATAATGTTTTTTATTTACAAAAAACAACAAATCTTATCAATAAGAAGGGAATGAAATAAACACGTGGTGGTGTGTGTGTGTGTGTGTATTTCAGTTAACCTAATTTTTGTTGGAATTTTTAAATTTTTTTTTTCTGAAAAAAAAATCTCTAAAATGATTGCTTCCTGATTGAAAAGAAAGGGTTATTTAAAATTTGATTGATTTGTTAACAGAAAATTGGGAAAGTTTACAGGAAAAAAAATGTCATTGATTGTTTTTTCCCGAAAAGTTTCTGCAAATTTTTTAGTTTATATAATGATGAATTGATAAACAAAATTGATTTGTTTATCACCAGAAAAAATCCAATGTTTTTCTGGTCGAAAAAATAACTAAATTGGCGAAACAAACAAACATTTTTGGATTTTCGAAACATTTCTAGAAAAATTTCTTTCTTTCGAAAAAAAAGTTGCAAACAACAACATTTATCAATGGCCGGTGTAAACACAGTCATCGAAAAAAAATTATTACAGCCAAACTGTGTGATTATCATCAAATACTATTAATTATCACTCAAAATTACACTTGGAAAAAAACGAAAAAAAAATTTCCAAAAACCAAAAATGTTTTTCGAAAAATCATTTTTTTTTGCCCAAATGAAAATGATTAACTGTAATTAAAGGTGACGAAAATGAAAAATGAAATTTTTCAGAAAAATTGATGAATTCAGCCCAGCCAGCCAGCATTGAATTGTCTTAAAGTTTTGCAAAATCCAATCAATTTCGTTCGATAATTATTGTCTGCGTTTTTTGTTTTTAGAAAAAAAATTTTTAAAATATTTATTTTTAAATTATGGAAGGGGGAAGAAAACTGCCCAGGATCCAAGAAAAATCTGGATTCATCCAGTTATTTCTGCTTGTTTGTTTGTTTAAGGAACAAAAAAAAATCCGGAAATTTTCTTAGCAATTTTGTTCACAGAAATCATTTCCTGAACAAAATTTTTTTAAATGAATTTTCACAACAAACAAAAATTTGATTTGAACCCTCGATCGATCAATCGATCGATTGATTGATTAACAAATCAAAAAAAAAAAAAAAATAGAAAATAGAAATTGATAGCAAACCAAATCAAAATTCTATATGCAATTTCCACCAAAAAAACCAAAACATCAATGACAAACAATTTCGAAATCATCATTTTCATTCAAAAAAAAATTCATTGATTATGACATTTGAAAACAACAACAACAAACAGCAATCGTAACATTTGTGTGCAACAGGTGGATATTGAATTGAATAAAACTTTCAAAATTCATACATTCATTCATTGTGTGTGCGTGTTTGTTATTCAATTCATCACATTAATCATTTTTTTGTGATTGATTGATTGATGATTTATCCACAAACACAAACACATTGTTTTCTGACTTTTTCTCTTTCTCACTGTGTTGATTTGATATTTGAAAACAAAAAAAAAACTTTTTTTTTTTGACTGTGAATCTTTGAACCAGAAACCAAAAATTTCTGTACAAATACGTTTTATGTTTGAATTGAACAAAAAAATGAAATGAAATCATCATTCATTGATTAACCTTGTATACAGAATTATAGATGAGATTTTATTTCACTTTTTGTTTTGTTACAAATGATGGTTTCTGGTGACAAATTAACAACAACATCAACAAAGTTACAAACGAAAAAAAATTGACAGCTATTGTTACATTTTGACTTGACATTGGAATTGGATACATCATACACACACCAGCACACACAGGTTGTTTGTTACTTCGAATCAAATCCTTCCTGTATTTGATGTTTGAAAACAAACGAATTTGATTTTCTCTGATTGGAAATTGAAAACCAAAAATCAATCAAAAAAATTGATCAAATTTTTTTCTTTAAAATCTCCCTCTTTTCTCTGTTTGTTCTTCCATATAAAATAGATGAACATTTTTGAATATCATCTTTTGATTTTTGTTTGATGCGTTTTTTCTTTTTTTGGTTGCTGTTGGTATTTTTTTTCTGTTTGTTTGATGTCATCATTCATTCATTCATCATTCGTCGACGCAACACAACAAAAAAAAAACTTGATTCGTGTCATTTTAGCAAACCAGCAGCAGCAGCAAGACTTTGATTTTTTTCATTCATCATAAATCATCATCATAATTATTAATCATGAATCCTGATGATTCAGGTGATGATCAAGGTGTAGTGATGAAAACATCATCATCATCATCAAAAAATAATCCTGAAGATCATCCACCGCATCCTGTTGAGAATCAAACATCATCCACACAACAGCAACAGCAGCAGCAGCGAAAAAATTCACATCACCACCACCACCATCATCATGATATTAATCCATTGAATACGTCGAATCCATCGGATCAACAAGATGAAGAAATTGCCGTTTTTAGTGAATTATCACATTTATGTCAATCAAAAGATGGACCTGCTTGGCGTGAAATTGCAAGGTTTGTTTTTTTGATTGTTCATCTTTGATCTCTGATCTTTGATTTTTTGATTTTTTGAATTGATTTTTTCCTTACTGATGAATCCAAAAAGATGGGTAAAATATGAAGAAAATGTTGAAGCAAATGGTTCAAGATGGTCAAAACCATATGTATCCACAGTAAATGTTGCTGCATTTCAAGAATTACGTGATAGTTTTCGTAATGGTGTTGTTATATTTGATTCACAAAGTGAATCATTAAATCAATTAGTTGATGAATTTTGTCGTATATTACGTACAAAAAATATGGTAACAGCTGAAGAATCTAAACATATTGCCAATTTATTATCATTACAAAAGCTACATTTATTTCAAACAAAACGTTCATTAATGCGTTCATTAGCTGATATGCGACAACAATCATCAAATAATTTTTTGAAATTAATTTCCGGATCCAATAGTAAGCTGGTTTTTCATTGATTTTCTTCGATTGATTGATCGATTGATTTTTCCCCCCAATTGAATGTAGCAAAAATCAATCAAGCAGTACAAATCAATGAAAATGAAATCAATTCCAATTCCCGATCCGATTCGGAGGAAAATGTTTCGAATAATAATTCAAAAAATGGTTCGATTGCTAATTTACAAAATGTTGGTAACAATAATAAAGATGTCAAAGATGTCAAAGATGATAATTATAAGGTAAAGTTTAAAAAATCTCCCTTTGATTTAACAAGGGGTTAATTTTCTTTTTTCTGCTGCTGCTTTAAATAACAAAGTTCAATGATGCTTTTATGCGAAAATTACCGGATAATGTTGTTTCGAATAATATACTGATTGCTGAAGTTGATTTTCTACAATCACCAATTTCCGGATTTATACGTTTACAAACGGCTACCGTATTGGGTAATATGACCGAAGTATCAATACCGACAAAATTTATCTACATTTATTTGGGACCAAAAATGAATTCAACAACCGGCCTAAATAATTATGAACAAATTGGTCGTGCATTAGGAACATTAATGTCCGATTTGGTTAGTTTTTTTGTTAATCGATGGTTTTCATTGATTTTTGATTGAATTTTTCTTTGTTTTCTTTGTCCAGATTTTTCGACAAGTTGCATTCAAAACACAAAATATCAGCGCCTTGATACAGGCATTAGATGATTTCCTAAATGAATCACCAATATTACCACCAAATTTATGGGATCCATCCACCCGTATTGAACCACCGGAAAAAACACCAGCCATTTTGAATAAAAATCGTGGCCGACAAATGTTACATGAATCAGCATTATTACATCGTGAATCATGTCAATTTACAACTGGAAATAATAGTGGTTCGAATGATGGTTCAATCAGTGATGGTGGTAATAGTGTTAATGGTGTAAACAACAATGACCAAAGTTTTACATCACAATCATATTATAATAAGGCATTTTTCTTGGATAATGGTGATAAAGTTATTTCATTTCGTCAACATGATACATTTGGTTGTTTGATTGATGATAAAATTAATATGGATTCAGATGATGAAGAAGAAATTGAACGTAAACAAATGGGTTTAGTACGTTCAGGAAGGTAGATTTGAATGTTATTTTTTTCCCCTTTCATTTTCATTTTGTTTTCTTTTTTGCCCAGATGGTTTGGTGGTTTGATCAACGATGTTAAACGAAAAATTCCACATTATAAAAGTGATTTTATTGATGCACTTTCGATGCAATCCATTGCATCGATTGTATTTCTTTATTTTGCCTGCCTAACACCAATCATAACATTTGGTGGTTTATTAGGTGATGCAACCGGTAATAATATTGCTACAATGGAAAGTTTAGTTTGTGGTTGTTTATGTGGTATTGTTTACGGGTTGTTTAGTGGACAACCATTAACAATTCTTGGTAGTACCGGGCCGGTATTAGTATTCGAAACAATTGTTTATGATTTTTGTCGTACATATGGTTATGATTATCTACCACTTCGGTTATGGATTGGTTTATGGACGGCAACAATCCTAATGATATTTGTTGCTTTCGATTTAAGTTATTTTGTTTGTTATATAACACGATTTACTGAAGAAAATTTTGCATCACTTATATCAGTAATATTTATGTATAAAGCAATTGAAAAATTATTGAAAATTAATCGTGATTTCCCCGTACATCTTCATCCAATGAATGATCCAAATAATGATAATAATATGGAATGTTTATGTTTATTGAATAATCATCTAAATATAACAATGGATATGATTGATAAACAAAATCATACAATAACAATTGATGGTGATAATGGTTTACGTAATCGTTGTTTACATTTAGGTGGTATACTTTATGGCTCGGGTTGTCATAATAAATATACACCAGATGTATTCTTGTTTTCATTCATATTATTAATATTTACATATATTATATCGATAAAATTGAAATCATTTCAAACAACAAGATTTTTTACAACAAATATTCGACAAATGTTTTCCGATTTTTCCGTTCCGATTGCTATTGTTATTATGACTGCTATTGATAATTTGACTGGGTTACCAACACCAAAACTTCAAGTACCGAATGATTTTAAAGTAAGTCCAAAAGCGGATCAATCAGTTTTTTTTGGTAAATTTCGGTTAATGAATTTTTTTTTCCAAATAGCCAACATTACCGACAAGAACATGGCTAGTATCACCATTTGCCGAAGCAAATCCAACATGGCTACCATTTGCTGCATTCATACCGGCTACATTGGCTACAATATTAATATTTATGGATCAACAAATCACTGCGGTTATTGTTAATCGTAAAGAAAATAAATTAAAGGTTTGTTTTTGGTGTTGATTTTCATTGCGATTTTTTTTTCTCACTGATAAACAATCAAAAATATACAGAAAGGATGCGGTTATCATTTGGATCTATTCATATTATCAATATTGATTTGTATTTGTTCAATATTCGGTCTGCCATGGTTTGTTGCTGCAACTGTTTTATCAATAACACATGTAAATTCATTAAAAATGGTATCACAAACGGCTGCACCGGGTGATCGGCCAAAATTTCTTGGCGTTAGAGAACAACGTGTTACCCAAATCGGTATATTTCTTCTATGTGGTTTATCAATATTTTTTACACCAGTTTTACAACGTATACCAATGGCCGTACTTTATGGTGTTTTTTTCTATATGGGTGTTACTTCATTGCAAGGATCACAGGTTTGTTTTGTTTATATTGTTTTTCCAATTTTTAACCCTTTACTAATCAATTTGGAATTAATTATTAGTTTATGGATCGTATTGCAATAATGTTTATGCCACAAAAATATCAACCAGATTATATGTTTTTAAGACGTGTTAAAATGTATCGTGTACATATGTTTACCATCATACAGGTTATTTGTTTTATATTTTTATGGGTTATCAAATCATCGAAACCAATTTCAATTACATTTCCATTGATGGTAAATATTTCAAATGAATTAATCAAATTAACCATTAACTAATTCTTTCCATTAACCCCATACATAGTTGGTCGTAATACTTGGTATACGTAAATTACTTGATTATGTTTTTACACAAGAAGAATTAAAAATATTGGATGATAAAATGCCTGAATCAAAACGTAAGAAAAAAGAACGTACAAAAGAAAGATTATCGGTTATGATTATGAAAAATAAACAACAACAACAACAAAATGGTCGACCAATTATGGATAATAGCAAGAAAGCAATCTAAATCTGAAAAATCTGGATTCCTTTTTCCAAACAAACCATGACAATTTTTTTTTCCTAAACATTTTTCTATTTTGTTTTTGCTTTTTTGGATTTTCAATTTTTTTTCATCTACGAAATTTTTTTTTTTTGGTCATAAACACAATACATACACACACACAAACAAACACAAAATTTATTACAAATTTTTTCTTTCACTTTGATAAATAAAAATTTTTTTTTACAAATAATTATTTCGGTGTTGAATTATCCAATTCAATCATTGCTTCTTGTATAGCTTGTTCCAATTGAATATTGATTGGTTTTCCACTACGATGACGTTTTTTTGCACAATGATGTGCTTCTAATCCTTCGGTTAATGTTCGTAAACTTTTTGCCATTACATTTGTACAGATATTATTTGTACCAAACCATTGTACAATTAGCTATGGAACAAAGAAACCAAAAACTTTGAGTTTCAGAAACAAAAAATAATCAATATCTTACCTTATCACCATCATCATTATCATCAGCATTTGATGACATTAATTTACCTGGCCAAAAACGTACATCACCAAATGGTCCCCAAACCAGATCACCAATATTAAATATACGTTCTTGTGGTGGTAATGGTGGTGAAAGATGAACTTTTTCATCCGAACATAATGACATACCGGGCATACATTGAATTTCTAATTGTCTTTTTAATCGTTGTAAACGTTGATAATATTTTTCTTTGGATTTTATCTCATTCAACGACGACGACGACGACGATGATGATGATGGTAACATTTTCAAAATTTCATTAGCATCTTGTATCAATTCTAAACTTTCAACATCATAATCATCATAATCATCATCGTCATCATCATCGATTAATTCATCAATAACTTTTGAACTTTGTTTTATTGAATTTTCAATAATTTCTTTTATAATTAAACAATCATCATCATCGTCGTCGTCGTTGATTTGTTCTTCTTCATTGTTGTTGTTGTTGCATTCGTTTTCGTCTGACTGTTCATTAGGATTATTAAAAATTATTTCTTGTTGTTGATTTGATTCTTCTTCTTTTGGTATTGGTTCATTCAAGTGGAAATCATTCTTTTCAATCATAATATTGGAAATTAATTCTACTTGCCCATCAACTGGATCCAATCCGATTTCTTCTGTCTGTTGTTGTTGTTGTTGTTGTTGTTCATCATCATTGTTCCAATCGATTTCATTTTGATCACCATCATCAGTTTCCAATAGATTTTTTGGAATATTCATTGTCATTTGATAACAAGCATTATCATCTAAATTTTCTAAACGAATTTCAAAATTTATTTCTTCATTTTCAACATCATCATCATCATTGTTGTTGTTGTTTGAATTCAATAATCCTGATGAATCAATATGTTCGGCCAACATTATTGATTGATGTCCATGATGTCCTAAATTATCATCTAAATCTTCGATAACTTCAATCGGTATACTTGAACAACTACTATCGATATCGATTGTTGATAATTTTGTTATCGATGATGATGATGATGGTTTTGCTGTCGACGATATTAATGAATAACATATTTCATTATCAAAATTATCAACACAAGATTCAGATTTTTGTAAATCATTTCTTAAAGATTTCTCATTATTCTCTATCGATTGATCATCATCATCATCATTGATTCGATTGAGCATTGTAAATGGATCAATATGATCAAATGGACCAACAATATTCTGTCGATTATCATCAGTTATTAAACATAAGGGAAAATTTTCCTTTAACCAATCCAATGTTATGTTTGGCCAATCCAATGATTTATTCATAGCTAAATTCATCATTGCAATCGGTATAATCATTTTGATTATTGGATCACCATATTCAAATATTATTGAATGAAAATTTTCAACAATTCGAAATGATTTGGCTGATTGAATGATATTGTTTAAATATTTTACAATATGATTATCAACATTGGTCGACATTTGATTTGTTGTTGGTAGATGTCCAACATTAATATCACGAAAATAATTGAGATCTTCATCGATAATTTCCAATTCTAATCGTTCAATTTCTTGTGAAATCTGAGTGGAAGCTTCAACAATATCAATTGGAATTGATATTCGATCTGAATCGTTGCCATCATCGTCTTCATCATTAGCATTTTTCGACCAATGTTGACCATCACCAGTTATGATACCGGAATTTTTCATTTCAAATGCCAAATGTTTTAGATTCGAATCACGTAGTGGTTTGGTTAATAGCCAACCATTTTTGGTCATCATTACCTGACTCCAATCGAATGATGAATACCATTCATTGAATATTGATTTATCATCAACATCATCATCGTTTGTCAATGATGATTGATCATTACAATGTTGATAGATTTTATAAATTTCATATAAATCACATTCATATTGACAAAATAAATGTAGATTAACATCAAGTAACAGGGAACGAAATTCATTGATATCATCGAATGATTGAAACCATTGTTCACATGATGATGATGTTTTANGAATCAAAATTAAATACTTCATCAAATGTTAATGATGGATTTAATGAACATTTACATGTATTTGGATCGGCCAAATAACCATAAACATCTGAATTTGATAATAATACATGACCACTTGGTGTTATGTAATAAATTTTATCATATCGTGATGATGATAATAATTTTCGTTTCCAACCATATGGTATTCGAATCGTATTGTTATGATTTTCCAAATGTTCATCATCATGTTGCTGATGATGTTGTTGAATATTTTCCATAATTATCTTCTTCGACGATTCATATTGATTTATTTAATGTTTTTTCACATCAAAAAAAATTTGACAAATTGAAAAATAATGTAAATATTGAGGCAGCCAAATCGAAAATCGATTGTTCGTCTGTCGAAACGATACAATCGAATATCATCACTATCGATATATCGTTTTTCGAAAAATTCTTTTTTTGAAAACATTAATTTTCCGATTCAATTTTTTCATTGCCAGAACCAAAAAAAGTTCCGGTTACAATTTTTGTTTTTTTTTGTTTCTTGCATCACATTCCGTTCAATTTTTTTTTGTTCCAAATAAACAATAACAAACATAAACGTCATAAATGAAATTATTTATTTATTTATTGTTTATCATATGATTAAATCAAAAATTTTTTTTATGATTCAAAACAAAACAAAAAATACCATTATAAAGACATTTCCTCACTTATCTAATCATTTGTAAACGATATTTGTTTTTTTTGAAAACGTCATCGATATATATTGATTGTCCAAACAACAAACTTTGGAAAAAAAATCGATCCAATTAATAAACATTTCTCATTTTTGAATCAAAAGATAAAAAAGAAAACTACGTTTTTTTTCTCTCTCTCTGTCATTGCTCATAATCATCATCATCATAAACAACACAAACATTCGATCGAACGTTTTATCTAATCCACATTCATGATTATGACGCCACTTTTTCATTGAAAGAAAATAAACATCATCATTCTTAACTCTGTGATTTTCATTGATTTACCACATACACACACAACAATTCACTATATCGTATTTATTTATTTTTTTTGAAATGATCAAATTTTGAAGCGAAAAAAAATGATTGATTTTAGATTTTTTATTTGTT